TCGGCCACTGTGTGTTTCTGTTGATGGATGCGCATTCTGGCTTCCCAGTACATTAAAACAACAGCAATGAAAAAAAAAAAACGTGGACAAACCATTCACTCTTGTTCAATGCGAATGCCGTATGCTGGAATATGAGCATTTATTCCGTCATCACCCGGGTGCTGATAGCGCGCGCGCACAGGTGAGACCTTAACAGAACACGTTGATATCTATGTTTAAGCTAAACTCGTTTAAGCCTTGACAGTTTAAACCATAGACTGTAAAAAAAAAAAGATGGATGACGCGTCTCCTATTCCTTCCACTATATAAAAGTCCTTCCACTATATAAAGTGAAGACAAAGCATCTCAGTATGGCCGCTGCCATCTTGAGTAAATGACGTCATTTGGAGCAAAGTCTGCGCAGTAGGGATTTGTTTGGAGCCAGAGTCTGCGCAGTAGTGTCGTGAGGTGGAGCCGCGGTATCAAACTCCCGCCCAAACTCCCGCAGACCCAATCAACCATAACAACACGCCCCATTTTTATAGCATCACATTACTAGCTAAAATCAAACTTATCACAAAAATGAACAATTGAACATATATCAGCGTGATAACAACTACCTTAAATGACCAAAACCATCTTTCGGAAAATTGTATTGGAAGTGTAATTTATTTTTTTATTTTGACTCTAGTCCCATTCGTTTACATGGAGAGGGCGGGGTTTATGACCTGTACTGCAGCCAGCCACCAGGGGGCGATCAAAGAGCCTGCAGCTTCACTTTTCAGGACGTGTGAGGCACACCCGGTTTAAACATTTAAGAGCCAGAGGACGCGAGCTCACACGCGCAGTGAGAAGATTTGTGCTTGCGCTCATCCGAAGCGCGCAAACCCGCGCCTCAGAACGCGCAAATATTAAGCTTTCTCTGAAGTATTGCGTTTAAATGGACAAATTCACACAAAAATTATGTCAAAATGCCCGTCTTGGTAAGTATCCTATAGCAGACATAGCCGGCTGAACGTACTGTATCAGTGCACTGGATCAGGGCATTCTCTTAAAGTGACAGCACTTTCTTAATATTAATCAAACAGCAACAACAAAGAAATCACTCACTGCTCTTGATTGAATAGCTTTTGTAACTTTAATAAAGATTAATATTTAATTTATACAGTCAAATATGCAATGCTGTTTTACATTTCATTACTTTATTCAATTTCTGTACCTGAAAACTAATGTTAGACCTACCTAAAAAAAAAAACTGAAAATCACTTTATTTTATTTGTATCTTTACTCTATTGTATTTATTTGTGCTGTTGCTTGTAGTTAGATTATTCTTATTTTCTTTATTTTTATTTGACAGTATAGTTTTTGCCTAAACATAGCACATACCGAACCGTACCGAAACCGTGACACAAACCGAACCGTGAGTAAGTTGAACCGTTCCACCCCTAATATTCATATTAGTATGATTGTACATTCTTTAAAAGGCTTGTGTTTCAAATGCATCTTGATAAAGGAGCTTTCCATCCAATATACTTGATTTACCCTCATAATTCTTACCATTGAGTGAATTTCTTCACTCAGCCTCACATCATACTGTTAACACAATGTCTAAGAAAATGTCTAAATTCTAAGAAGGTCTCTTTCACTATATGTATTTCTTAGGAAATATTTATTAAACATCTGTAATACATTTTTTTTGTTTAAATTTTTACACATCCATAACATTAAATTATTTTAGTCAAAACCCATACTTTACAACATACTGAACTGAACTGTACTGTAATATTGGACATTTTTGATTAACATCAAAATAAAGTAACATTACAATAAAATTTACTAAAAGTGTCTTGCCCTTATAATCAGGTGTACTGTTAAATGTTCATGTGCATTCATCTGCCTAGTTATTCACCTTTATCCTGCATTATAAATAAATTGCATACTTTAACGTTACTTATTATTTGAAACAGTTAAGGAGTATCATACTACCATATTACTCATACAATTTCTACTATGTTTATTCTGCACATAGTAAGGATTTTTTTGTAACAGAATGTGCAGTGTACAACCCGAGCACATGTATCCCACAATGCAGTGCACACAACCTGACCTATTTTCAGTGAGACATTGAAGCTTATCTGGTGATTTTTAACACCTCATTATTTTTGACTCGTTATCAGACAGCTATTTTTTTATAATAAACCATTTTCTACATGACAACTAAACATCACACTTAAATTATGTATGAGGTTACATTTGACAATGTAACAGTACTGTTTGAAATGTTTACCGGTACTAAGCAGTGTACTACTTTCCTTCTTAACCTATGTGTTTTTGTGACAGTACACTGCTGGCCCCATGTGGTGGTACAAGAAACTGCATTCAGTAGAATGAGAATAGAAATACAGATGGTGTGATCTACATAGAAAAGGTTTCTGGGAACCATTTTGGCCCTGAAAGATGCTTCATCCACATGGTAAAACAATGCCTTGCCTACAGGTTGTTTACACATTTAACATTGGCTAGAAAAATGATTGACTATATTTCTCGTTAGTTTGAATGCCATAAATAATAAGCAGCCCCCTACAAGACTGTAATAAAATAATTATACAACATTACACATTATGTAAACAAGAGACTGTGATGTCTGGATTGGCACCAAGTCTGAAGGTCTCATGTGGAGATGTAGGCTGATATATTTTTTGAGTGAGAACCATAATGACTAATTATGTGAATGCAGTGTCCAAACTTAACAAAACATGGAACACATGTTGCAAGATAGTCTGAAGAAACATGACGAATTTCTGATGCTCATGACATGTTGATCTGATCTTTTCAGTAAAGTTATGCAAGTAAAAAAACTGAAACCTCACATCCATCCTTGCGAGTCCCTTGGCACACAAGCCAAATCATCCTTCACCCAGCTTGTGGCTTATTTTATAACACCTGCGAATGTCGCCTATTAAAAGATAAACAATTGTCGTTATTAGTATGAAGTAGAGTTTTATATATTTTATAATTAATAACATTTTCAATTTCTCATAATTTATTATTCTTACCTTTTTCCAGATTGTCCTGCTCTAAAAAAATCAGTAAAAAAGTTCAGTTTTGGGTTTTGTTTGTTATTTTGACTTTTGCCCCTTTTTTTTAAATTAATCTTTCATTATGAATTTTTTTTATTTTAATATGATATTGTATCCATGTGTTCAGGAATACTCCGTTTTTATTTATAAACGCATTTACATATATTAAAAAATATATTATACCTTCTACAATAATTTGATCTTTGATGTCATTATTTTGTTGTCTGACTGGAACTTATTGCATCAAAAAAAAAATGGTTACGTTCCGTGTTTATTTATACAATATTGTTGGTTGCTACGTACTGCTGTGTGCTCTTTCTCTTGCTGTGTCTCATTTAGAAGGCTGCGCCCTCCGGAGGTCGCATTCGAAGGCTGCATACGTCATCGAGGCTGTCTCACTTCAGAAAAGTAAGTAGGACACTCCGAATGCGACCTTCTTTCACAGGAATGTGTTGCTCTTGTAGTTTTGTCAGAGATTGATACTGTGTAAAACTTACTCGGGTTGTGGCTTGTTGTAGCCTTCCGAAAGGTAATTAGCGTTGTTTTTGCGCTACATGTCTCTCTGTGTTGGAAGCCGTAGGGGGGTGGGTGCTATTTTATTTGTGAATCTTTTTCTCTTGTTTTTGCTTAGTTGGGGAGTTAGCCTACATTTCTGTTGTTAATTTTCTTTTGTTTTGTCAGTTTAGACCGTTTTACTCCTTAACTAATTGGAGGGTCCTTTTTGTTTGTTGTTTTGGCCTTTCCCCCTCCTGAAGTCTATTTTGCTTCCTATTTTACTTTGTCATTTGGAAATTTTGTAAATAAAATACTTGATTTTGGAACTTAACGTGTCTGTTGTGCTGGACAGGGGACTGGTACTCACTCACCCCAACTAAATTTATGTTTACTTTTCTGTTACCCCCTTACCCTAGACCCTTACATCTGGGATGTAACTAAATTATTTACCAATCTGCAGTGTCAGAGATCATTCAAAAGATGTTTAGACAAAAGCACAATGGATGCTTAAGAGTTAATTTATTTTGGTG